GGCCGTCAGTACTTGAAATTCTTCTTCTTCTTCCTCCTTTTTCTCTTCCAATTTCACTTCTTGCTTATCTGCCTTGGAGGCCTTGGTCTTGAGACTCTTGAATTTTCGTTTCCCATTACAGAACCAAAGCGAAACAGAGGATGTTGCTCTGCAGAAATGGTGACAGCGCTGTGAATGGTTGAAATGAATAGTAGCAGGCGACTGAGTTCGACTCGGACCGAGTTGCTGGGGTAACACTAGCAGGCTATTTGTTAGCAGAGCCATTGGTATTTCTAGTCTTCCATGCCCAACTTCACTTCACTTCACTCTTATCTTTTTGTATTGTATCTTTAAAGGCTCGTGGTCACTCAAAAAGGTGCAGTGCAGGGCCACCAACAACAAAGATTGTCTCTTTCTTTTTCCCCATATCAGAGTGAGTCAGATAACAAAGCTTTGAGCTATTAATTTTAGTGAAAGGAAAAAAAATAAAAAATTTGTGTTAAGATTAGTTAAAAATCCGAAAGAGCGGACCTATTGATCAAAATCTGAATTATGCTTTTAATTTTGATTTCATGCATTAAAAAAATTGATTACTTAGGTATATAATGATTCTTTAGAGTTCCGATTTTATGTTTTAAAGAGCTTAAAATTTAAAGCCTACCATGTCAATAAACATGATGAAATATGAAGACGAGTGAGTAGAAATGAGATTTTCTCAACGTTTTCATTCTTTAAAGAACGAAAGTCCTGTCTAGAGAACTTACGTGTATACACACATGTTAGTTGGTGAACCTGACCTTACTGTAATTTAAATAACTGTACTCAACTTGTTTGAGTTAGGAGCATGAGTTTTGTTTTCTTTCTCATTGTTTGAGAAAGTATTTAGATATATTTAGATGTTTAAAGTTGTGAAGAGGTTTTGCGGTCTAAATTTGTTAGCATTGTGCTGAACTCCAACTTCATTTCTTCTTGGACGAGTTTATAGTGTTGTATGCAGGTCGCTAGGTGATGTTCAAGCCAAGAGTCCATGCATATGAAGATTTATTACTGCAATAAAATCAAGACAAAACAAAAGGATAGGGTGCTGGGGAAGAATGGGCAAATCCCCTGCACATTCTAAGTGCAGTACAGGACTTTTGACAAGCTGACCTGTTTTAAAAACCTCAGGATGCAGCTCTCCATTCTAAAGTTTGTGTCTTTGGAAGGCTAATATCTAACCATATCCCAAATGACTGTACAAACCAATCCTATAATATTATATCACCTAAAAGCCCCTGCTAATTATGTAATTAAAATCCCCTAAACCACACCACAAAGAAAGATAATCCTATAAATATATTATGCAGAGGCCTAAACAGCCTTCACAAGTGCATGCCATTGAAAATGCTGTATGCACCGTCTTGTGGCCGATTAGCAAGCTTAGCTGCAGCTCCATTTTGATATGCTTTGGCTGCTCCATTTGGGACATTTCTTTTGGTCTCAGAACCCTGGAAGAAAGATTCCAACTGCCCACATGCTGCTTGGAACATATGATTGCTTGCTCCATTTGGGATATTTCTTTGGGGCATATCATTGCTTGCTCCATATGAGATATGCCTCTGGGACATATCATTGGCAGGTCCATTTGGGATATTCCTTTTGCTCTCAGAGCCCTGTAAAAAAGCATCCAACTGCCCACATGCTGCTGCTATTAGGCCTGCATGACATTGCAAATTGACAAATCAAGATTTACAAGCTATTGTGTTGCTTCTGTAATTTGATTTACAAGCCAGCAGAGAAGAATTTTGAATTTAGGTTTTCACAGAAATCCCATGAAGTAGGATTCAAATTATCAAACTGCAGCAATGAGGTACACAACCTGAAGAACCTTCTTCAGTACTCAAACATGTGACAAGTAAATATTTTTCACAAGAGTCCAAGGAAAGATGCCTGGTTTGTGAGTTTAGCTGTTACTTGGGCCAGGCTAGCCAAATTTATTAGATATTGACTTGACCAGAAGCACAACCAGGTTGTAACAGACGAGTATCGGCTCTGTTTCTTAATCTTAGCTTTTTCACCTTTTTCAATGATTATTTAAGCTCATAGAAGATACCCAATAGTGAATTCAGGGAAGATATTTTAGGCTAAGATCAAGTGGGGATTTCTTCTATGTCCAAGCTTCAGGTAGGCAACAGATTTCTAGTAAATGAAGCGAAGATTACCATCAAGCTTGCCTAACTTCAGATTTTAATACCTTACCTTGACTGGCTTTTTCATTAATAGAAATATTACAGCTGAGCTTGGCTTATTATTAATCAAGTCATATAGGAAGGCTTCAGATTGGTCTAAATTCTAAAAGAACAATATTGAACATGCTTCTTTTCAAGCTGAGTTCTGTCATGAATAGTCAGAGTCTTGTCTGAAGCTTTCAAAAGCACATTTATCTTCATTGTAATAATGGACTAAACGAAGGAAAGGTAACAATAATCCCAATTTTCAACCAAAATTAACAACACAGATTTAGTATAAGTGAATATTCAGATGAATAAACAGCAAGCCTCCAGTTCATGTAACAAAGTATAATTGAACATGAAGTGAGTGTGAAACTTATAAGGATGTATGAGACATGTACCTATGAATAAAGCAGAAGGTTTTCCTGGTCTTGATTTGAATTCAGGATGGTACTGGACACCAATGAAATATGGATGATTACGCAGCTCAACAATCTGTAACGTCAGTATAACACGTATTAGATCAAAGTCACCACAGTAAACAAATCAATTGATTCTATAGTTACACAGACAAATAATGAAAATTTATACCTCCATGCGTTGGCCAGTTTCATCCTTGCCAGTGAAAGAGAGGCCAGCATTTTCAAGGCGTGCTACCATTTCAGGATTCACCTGAATCCAACTGAATTAGCCCTCCTGACAAAATAGTATCTTATAATACAATCATTTTCATTGGGATGCCGCTTACCTCATATCTGTGTCGATGTCTCTCATCGATGAAGCGCTTGTTTCCATATCTAACAAAATTCAAATTTCAGAGATTAGCCAACACAAGCATCTCATTCAGCATGCTTGTACCCTCTGATTTTCATGTGTATCAAGTTACTGATTGATCTATGCAGATCAATAGACCTCCTCATAAGCTTCGGTTCTTATGAAAAATGTGATATGTACAAATCAAATGTGCATATTTCTTTCCAAATTAGTACTCACAGTTTAGCCGATTTGGATTCTGTAGACTGGAAATATGTTCTCCTGGATCCAAGGCGCATGGTGGCTCCCATATGTGTTGTTGAACCCTGCTTTACAAGGTCCAGAGATTAGATAAATGGGAAAGGCAGGATATTGAGTTCCTTTCAATGAAACATAAAACTCGAAAACACGATGCAGACCTCTGGCATAAATATAACACAGGGATTCTTAGTGTTAGGATCAAATTCTGTGCTGTTAGCATCTTTCAGACCAAGAACAGATCGTGCAAACTCAATGACAGCAATCTGCATTCCTAGACAAATGCCAAGGAATGGAATTCTCTTTTCCCGGGCATATTTTGCTGCAAGAATTTTCCCTTGCACTCCTCTGTCCCCGAATCCTCCGGGAACGAGAACACCATCTGCACCCTGAAGATACAGGACAATCAGAAGGCTAACAAAAAAGCAACTGCAACTCAAGGATATTAAACCTAAATACACACACCTTCAACAACTTCCAGGCGGCTTTATAAGCATCAGGATTCTGCAATATGATACATTTTTTGTCGAGTTTTGATATAAGGTAAAATGTAAACATTGCTAGAACTGAATATCAATATATAACTCGTCTAAAAAAAAAAAGAATATCAATATATAACAACCTCTTTTGCAGTTGCGTCTTCAAGGTCGCCAGCTGAAACCCAATCCACAAAAAGTTTCTTGCCACGAGCAACAGAAGCATGCACAAGAGCCTGCAGAAATTACTACAGATTATATATCCAACCCCAGCATACTTTGTCCTCCCCGACTTCAAATTTAAGTATCACAAGAATGAAAGCAAAATAATTAGAATTTGATAATAGAATTGTACCATGTTTGATATTAACACAGTAATGTTGTTCCAAAATTTACTCCCACTATGTATCTTCCTGAAATTTATCTTGCTGTTTACATTTGGTATGGTTAATATGTTCACAAGCTCATATCTAAACATATCACAATCACTTTCCCCTGAACTGGACCGGTTTATAAAGCACTAAGAAAAGTAATAATTTGATGATGAAATCATAAACTATAGGAATAAGAATTCATCATAGCTATCATCTTTACCAGATAACCTCATATCAAAACATAACAGAAGGCTAACATGGAGAAAACTAATTTTTTCGTGTTATCTACTTTACAGATCCTAGTTCTGAGCTCAAATCTTGGGCAAGGATTTAAGAATTGTAATTTGTGAGTACTGCATTTATAAATGCAGCAAGCAACCATCTTTAGAAATTAGATTATCGTCTGATTTAAACACCAATTCATAGTGAAGAAGTGGTAGCTAGGTGCACCTTTATTACAGAGAGGTAGGCATCTGAAAGCCTCGTATACTTCCCGACCATGGCAATGCGAACCTGTTATGTAAATGACATTAGGATTTCAATTTTTTGGCAACAAAAGGAAATAAAAGTATGTCTTTGGAGCTAAGACCTACCGGCTCATGCAACATGTCACAAATTTCAGCCCTAGAAGTCCATTCATCTAATTCAGGTTCCCTTGTTAATCTGCACATTAAGGAGCATTTGTGTAGATGAATGTTAGAAAACTAAACAGTGAGATCAACTGATGCACAGTGCATATGGATTACATCCCAAAAGTTACAGGAAAGAAAATGAGAAGAGTTCATGAGACAAACCCCTGAAGGTTCAGCACTTTAAAGATTGCTTCATGAGCCTTCTGATCCTATTTGAGAAGAAGCAGGACAAAAAATTCCATGTGACAGTTAGAGAATGAAGATAACTTCAGCTTAAGAAGATGCATTTCAGAAGTTGTAGAGAACTACTCACTCTTAAAAGTAATGGAATGTGCCAGATGTTGGAAACATCGTAGAGAGTGATGATGTTCTCTTTCTACAAAATATTTAGCAGCTTCAGTAAAGTATTCATCTTGCAAAGCAGATAGAAATTCGTTTCAAGTAGTATGCTTGAACTAGAACTTATCAAACATACCTGGACATGGCAAAACTGACTGACTTTTGTCTTTACGTTCTCTTCTAGTGCCTGTAAATTTAGAATCTTCAGCCAACATGACAAAGCAAACACGGCAAAAAGATGGAGAGAGAGACAGATAGACAGACCGTTGTGCTGCGACAAGCTATCAAATGTGGTGTCAAACCCAGGCACCTCAGTCCACGAACACTGTGCTGGGTTGGTTTTGTTTTCTGAACATTATGAGCATAATTAAGTACATTCATTAGAGCAATTTAGTAGTTTTCTCTCATGACTGAGAAATATAAACAGAGGTTAAATCATCTACTATAAGAAAAAAGCTAGTGAACAGACAATTATAAGAACCTTACCTGTTCACCAACAACATTCAAAACAGGCACAAGGCTAACATGAATCAAGCAAAAGTTGTCACTACCTGAAATAAACAAACATTGATGGAAAAGAAAAGACAAGAGTCAAGTAACTAAATGATCAGATCAGAAAGAATGTGTGCCATGCCAACATATATAATTCTGTCATATGGAGTTTCGTATTCAATTTGCTTACCTACACGGTACGAGAATTGTCCTAATGCCTCAATAAAAGGCATGGATTCAATATCACCTACAACCAGGAAGTTGTCAGTAATTTGAAATAGCCATTGAAACAGCTGATGCTGCCAGAAATGAAGAACGTTGGTGTGGAAAATATAGATGTACCTATAGTTCCACCCAATTCTATGACACAAACATCAGCTGGACCTGACTCCCCATCCACTGGTATTTGTGCTACACGCTCAATCCACTCTTGGATAGCATCTGTGATGTGAGGAACAACCTACAGATAAACAAAATTATATAAGAAAAGAAAGGGACCAGATAAAATATAGCCCGAAAAAGGAGTCATAGTAGGTAGACAAAAACCTGGACAGTTTTTCCTAGATAATCTCCCCTTCTTTCTCTGTCAATAACATACTGTGACTCAAAACAAGGGGAAAAAAAAAAATCAAACGTTTGAATTTTTGGAATCTGCAGTAGTTGGTATATAAAAATAAAATAAAGTGGATATATATATATATATATGTGTGTGCGCGCGCGCAATTTAACCTACTTGCCTGGTAAATCTTTCCGGTAGTAATATTATTATCACGGGTCAGCTTGATATCTAGAAATCGCTCATAGTTTCCAAGGTCCAAGTCCACCTATGAAAATTTTAAAAAAAGAAAAAACCAAATTAGCAAAAAAAAAAGTCCGTGATTCTTCCACGTTTTTTAAGACTTTGACACTTGAGTCCAAAATTTCTCATTGGTAATTGCAACCATTTAATTCTTTTTAACTCTGTACTTGTATGGTGGAATTCAAATTGTTGTGTCACAGATTGAAAAGGCATATGATCTTATAAAAGACAACAGAAATTTCCCAGGTGGATAATGACAAAAGCTTCCTACAGAAATGTCCCTCAAAAAGTAAAAGAATCATCTAGGAAGGAAGAGGGCAAAGAGTAAGCTGATGTACCTCACCACCATCATCTAAGACAAAGACTTCACCATGTTCAACGGGGGACATAGTTCCAGCATCAGTGTTTAAGTAAGGATCTGAATTACATAAGAAAAAGAAAAATGGTGATCAGGACAAGAGGGAGAGAGAGAGAACAGCTTAAACTTATATACATCAGGCATTATATAGAAGAAAAAAATTGCAGTCGCTCAGATTTGTGTTCTCACTGAAACACCAACTGAAATTCAGAAGAAGAAAAAGAAAACTTTAGCAGAAAAAGCTAAATCTGATACATCTTTTTTCCCCATTAAAAGATAAAGAGAGAAAAAAGTGGATGAGCTTTCCAACAAAAACGGCATAATGGGTTGGCTCAAAATGTTAAAAACAACAGAGATGAGCAACATCACACAGAATTAAAATGAAAACAGAAGAAGAAGAACAAAAGGAAGCAGAAGAGGAGGAGAAAGATACCTATCTTAATGGAAGTGACCCGAAGCCCACAAGCCTTTAGAAGCAAGCCAATACTACTAGCAGTCACTCCTTTCCCAAGACCACTCACAACTCCACCAGTCACCAAAACGTACTTCATTTCTTCTCTGCTTCTTCTTCTTCTTCTTCTTCTTCTTCTTCTTCTTTGACAAACGCCAACTTAGCCCCTCCCCTGTTTCCTACACAAGAGAATCATAACCCACCACCCCAATAAGCATTTTATTCTCCGCCATTAACTGTGGAAAGAAGAACAAAAGAGAAAGAAAAAGATATAATTTTTTTGGTTGGTAAAGACTTATAAACACAACCCACCAGCCACCAGAACAGTGTTTCAAAGGCAGAGCAGTAGAGCAGGAGCTGCTAATTCTTATTTTCTTAATTTGCAATTCTTGGTGTTTTTGAACGTTATCTGATTTCTCTCTCTTTAATCCAACTCAGAGGTGCAAAGAGCATGAGCTATATCATACAAAAGCCAAAGCAAGAAAAACCATCAACAGCTTCTTAACAGCAACAGACACATAGAAAGAGAGACACAACAAGAGAGAGAAAGAGAGATGAGAATAAAAAGGTAGTTGCAATGAGGAATGGTTAGGCACAAGGGCGGCCTTTTATAGGCAAAGTTGGGTATGCAAAATTAGAAATTACACCCAAAAAAAAATTTGCTCTTTCCTATAATTAAAAAAATGGCTACAATTTGGTCTTTCATTTGTTTTCCTTTCACGTCACAGCTGCAGCGGAGCTGCAAAGGCATACATACCCCATCCCACCAATAAAATGTAAGTGAACTAAAATATTACTTCCTCTAATTCGCACTAATTTTATGTTAAATTTTATAAAACTAAAATAAAGAAGAAACTGGTCGGTTGGATAATTCTTCATATTATCAATTTAGTACAAATTTTCCACACACTTTTGGTTTATCAATGTATGCACTTTTCTCCGGCCAAAAAATGTATACACTTTTCTGCCAACTTGGACCAATTTGAAGTCATACTAACTACTATATCCTTAATTAATAAAAATATCCTCTCTCTCTCTCTCTCTCTCTCTCTCTCTCTCCACCACTACTACTACTACTACTACTTTCCATATGTATATATCAAGTTGATCCTCCTATGTATTGTAACCTCCTCACGTTGTTACCAAATAATGTCAAAAGAGTTCCCTCCATATACCTTTAAATTAGAGGGATGATTTGGCACTCCTACAGGGATATGGTGGGTAATGTAATTAATAAATATGGTACAAATAATATTATTTAGAATTTCTTACCACATTTGTATATCATATTCTTATACCATCTTATGTAGTAGCTGAGGTGGACAGCCACATCAATTAAAATTATTTAATATATATATATATATTTTTATGATTTATTTCAGTAGTTGTTTTTCTAATTGTCTTAATTAAAATACACTTCATTGATTGAATTAATGTGACATATAATATAGACATGTCACATCATGTGATATAAAAATGTGGTAAGTGTAGCATTACTCTATTATTTATTTATGCAACATGTGTACTCTCTTACACCCATCATAATGATGCATTTACTTCATTGTCCCAGAGACACCAAACAACATAATTACATTGGCTGCGAAATTCTCTACGATTATAAAATTTCAACTTTTGAGATAGATCACTGATTTTCTATCCCCAACAAGTGTTCAATTCTTTACCCCCTCTCTCCCTCGAATAAAGAACAAAAAACAAAAACAAAAACAAAAAACCTAGATGACGTTGTTACAAATTAAACTTAACTAATTGCATTATTAATTCCTCCACTTGATCCATATCGCATGTCTATTCTGAGCATGTATAGTACAATAACATTAACATAAAACTAATGTACTTGAAGAACTACAAGAGAAGACGTAATCTTAGTTACAAGGATAATATAGTTTTACTACCAGTAAAATTATATTATCCTTATAAGTTAGATTGCGTTTGTATATTTTATCGATAAGGGATAAAGGTTATCAAAATGGTAATACTTGGCGTTCACTGATTGGTTTTGAGCTTGGCTTTGGAAAAACATTGCTCCATCATCTCCCATCTGTAATTTGCTTTCCGTTCTTTGTTTGTCTGGTGTAATTTGGCTTCTTTCTTTTCTTGTAAGAGGCCTGTGCTTGGTTTTCTTTTGTCAAAATCAAATATATAGTGATACTATAAAATAACAGTTGAACAAGACAAAAAGTTCCTGCCAAATGCAGGTGGGTAGTTTTTTTTTTTAAGTTTTTTTGGGTCGGGTAGGAGTTTGTTAGTTAATTCAGGAGTGATTGAGTGGTGAGACCAATATCAAAGAAAAACACTTAGAATTCCATTCTTATTTTATTTTTATTTTTCTCAACTTTCTCGTATGAAATGCAACTCATGCTATCACACAATTTATGTAAAATCACTTTAATTCGAGGTATTAATCTTCCCAAATAATATACTAAATTATTGATCGAATGACAGTACGATAATATAACATGTTGATTATTTTCTAGAGATAACACCACTCTTTAAGTATAGTATCTACCTATAGCATCTAAAGTCGGTAGTTTTGTCATGCTTGATGAAACAAAGGATGCAGATAAGATAAAAAGAGGTGTCAATGGCATGGTGATGATGTTGCCTTAGGCTTTAGTCATGCGATGGGTGTTACTTGCACCTTTTTTTTGGTGTTCAAATGCTGCACTTATGCAATGCCACGCAGCCCAAATCAAATTCAATCTTTTTTAGGACCACATTTATAGGGGTAAATGCTCGTAAGTTAATCAATTGAGCTACGCTCTTTACAATCAAATTCAATTTTTTTTAGGACCACATATCTAGGAATAAATACTCGTAAGTTAACCACTTGAGTCCTTACAATCAAATTCAATCTTTGAGGAGAAAGAATATTTCCATTAATTATGTATCTTCCATAATTTGATAAAAGAAGAAGAAAAGAAATAGAACCATATGCACCTATTCTTTTTTCCTTATTCTTTTCAATTATACTTGTATAATAACTATGAGTAATGAGTGGCACCCGACCAACCACTTGCTAATTACTTTCCTATTAATTAGACCCATGCCAACATACCCCACCAAGTTATCCCCATGGCTTATGTATAATTAATGACCCAACCTAGTGATTTAATGTAAGAAGGGCTCCACCCTTCTTCTTTATTTATTTTTTTCAATTTTGTGACTGAAATTTATTCTTGTTTCACACAAAAAAAAAAAAAAAGAAGATTTTTTGTGTTTTCACAAAACCACCTCAAGTTTTAAAAATTACACGAATACCCCCTGACGTTTCATTTGTTTTCACACAACTCCTTTTCGTTGATTGTTCGTCCAGAAATTGATGATTTCATTGAAAAATAAATAAATTGTGCAAATGATAAAATTAACCTCAATGAATATATATGCAATTTAATCTCAAATGCCAACTTTGTCATTTTGAGATTTTTTTATTATTATATAAAATCATCAATCTTTAATTGAAAACGGGTTTTGTGAAAACAATTTGAAACCTCAATGGGTGTTCGTATAATTTCTGAAGCCTAAGAGGATTTTGTTAGAAAACCTAAAACTTCATGGAGTGTTAGTGTAAATAACTCTTATTTAATCAGATAAGCAAAAGAAAAATAATAGTGAGGGCAGTGTGGAAGTAAAGGATATTCGCATGCATTCAGATTGATAGATGAAATAAAGCTTTATTGGTTTGCATCCACACCCACTTTCCGAAAGTATTATAAAGAAGAATATAATTGAAAAAAAACCAAGACCAAGAAATGGGGTCAAAAATGAAGGATAAAAAGACTTTGTGGAAAACTCATAGGATAGAACAGCCAACCAAAAAGGAAAAAGAAGACCGAACAAGCATCCTTATATCCCAAGGAAACTACCTATTAACTAACCAACCAACGGCCAACGAAACAATCTACCACTCACTTGTTTTCTTTCTTTAAATTATTCCGATCTTAAGATAATTATATCCCATGTATATAAATCAAGTAATTACAGCAGAAAAGTGACAATAATTGTTTCTTAAAGCACTAAACTTACTATCATTCAACTAACTAATTCGCGTTAGTTTGTACGGTACCGATAATTAGCGTGCCATAAAAAGGAAATTAGAAAAGCTTATTTCCAACTTTTTGAAATGAATAACTCACGTATTATTGAACCAGCTAAATCTTTTGAGAGAAAGACGATAAATTGCACTAGTTTAGTGATATTTCTCTTTCTAATAGTAGAAGATGTTCATATTTAAAAACCCCTCTATCATTGATTTGTTTTTAGAAAAAAAGTATTGAAGTACGCTCATATTTTCCATATAAAGGGAAAATATACAGACTTTAAATTAAGCTCTATTTTTGTTTCCGTACTATATATGAATATTATACCTCTAAACTTTATGCACTGTTCATAGAAGTATGCTTAATCACCTTTGTACATGGTTTGTCTTGTAAGGTCCCATTCCAACTCTCCTAAATTTGTGTAGTCAATTTTTGTTGTTGAGATGAGAAGAAACATCCAAATGATATACCCTATCTTGCTCTTTATTGTCTTCCTTATCTTTGATCATCCTATCAATTTTTGCCTTAGTATTTGCATAAATTTACGCATGAAACTTATTTTTAATAATTAAGATTTGAGAGCTAGAATCTCTACCTTTCGTCATCCGTCATATGTCACTTGATTTAAGACTTACGAGTCACGAGTCACGAGTCACGCATTAAATTTGTGGGTGTTTGTTGTTTAATAAATTACTATATTTTTGTTTAAAAAAAAGGTTGAAACTCTAAAAACTTTAATTTATTTACAATGCGCGACATATAATATATACCTTCAGGGCTCGTTTGGTACATCAGAGTGTACTGATTAATTTATGTCGGATATTATTAATTTGTTCTTGAGAGTACTGACTATTTTTTCATAATATTATAAGGCGTTTGGTGTTGTTTCAGATAAATAGTTTGACTAAGTTATATTGTGTTTGGTGTTGTTCTGGATAACATCGGATCATACTATTTTTTTTCCAAAAAATTCTTTGATAATTTAAGTGAAAATATAGACAATATAGACAACATAATTTGCATATATATATATAATTAAGAACAAAAGAGAATATATTGAAGCCCAACAAAAGCAGGCAAGAAGAGAATCGACAGCCAGCAGTAGCAACCCGGAAATAACCAAAAAACAAACCAACAAAGCACCAAAAGTAGAAAGAAAAAAATACAGCAAGAAAAACATAGCCGCATCTATTGTTCTAATTACTGACTTGGGATGATAATTTGATTATTGAGTTGGATACCTGGAGAAGATGAAATACATAAAGAAAAAAACGCAAGAAAAACTCAGCAGCATGTATTGAGTTGGATACACAACTGCATGATGATTATTTGATTATTTGATTATTGAGTTAGATACACAGCCGCATGTATTGTTCCAATGCAGCAAGAAAAAAAATGTCAAAAAGGAAAAACTCATAACCTAATTTCGACAAAAAATAATAAAAGAGGAAACATATAAAGAAAGAGAAGATGAAGAAAGAAGAAGAAGAAGAGAGA